TCATATATATATATATATATATATATATATATATATATATATATATATATAATCTTTAAACATATCTGCAGAGAAGACAAATTGAATAAAATAGACAATCGGAAAATAATATTTAGTTCTTGCCGACAGGTTTCGTCATTTGAATCTATCTATCTATCTATCTATCTATCTATCTATATATATATATATATATATATATATATATATATATATATAAAAGTGAACATTGAAGTCAACACTCAGAGGCGACAGTGTACACTCATGACCTGACGCCTCTGAGTATTGACTTCAATGTTCACTTTTATATCTATATTTACATACGCTCTATCTCTGATATTGAGCACTTTATCCCGTAAAACTATATTTATTTATATACACCTTAAAACTATATATATATATATATATATATATATATATATATATATATATAAAGAAATATAGTTTTGGTTAGAAGACAAAGAACTAAGCGTTCATCATATATATATATATATATATATATATATATATATATATATATATATAACCGAAAATATCTTATACATAATAGAGAAGAGCGTCAGACGAAATCTATTCATTTACAAGAATATATATATATATATATATATATATATATATATATATATATATATATATATATACTAAAATAATCCTAAGGAGCCAGGCAAACCAACCTAAACGGGTCTTCAGGGTAAAACTGGCTAAAAAAGGAAAATAACGGAACAGTATTTATTGATAAAAAACAAGTAAAACCATAACCACGTGACAAAATGTTTTTTTTTCTTTGGTCTTGGAACTTAAGCACTTGATGATTGGTTACGTCTTGTTTTAATGTTTTTGGTTCTTTCTTTTTTTTATTTCCAATTTTTTCCTCGGGTACCGATTTGTTCTACTGCAAGTTGAGCTATCCGAGGATTTCCAAACGAGTACTACCATATATATATATATATATATATATATATATATATATATGTATGGTAGTAATATATATATATATATATATATATATATATATATATATATATATAAAAGGAAGGATGTGTGTGTGTGTGTGTGTGTAACGAATGCACGGCCGCAATTTTCGATGGATTTGCACCAAAATTTACATGCACATGCTCCAAATTAGCGGGAAGGCCAAGACCGACTTTGCATTTTCCAACTCTCATCAATAGTGGAAATAATCGATTTTTTCATGCTTCTACGGCAGTTTTCATGTAGTTTGCGGCCATTTTGTACTGGTCGGACTGAGAGCCTATAGCTGGCTGCCACGAATAGGCAGAAAGATTCTATTGGCTTGCGTGAGAGCCAACAGCTGACTGACACGAATGTTAACTAGCATGCTAGCATGCAAAAACAATCGATAGCTGCATTCGTCACACGTGGAAAAATTTAAATCTGCATGGCACTTTACTCCAGTTGACTCATTCGCTTGCTTAAACTCAACGTTGATTCTGATTCCGCAGAACTGGGTTGGGTGTGAAAAAGTATTTGTTGCTAACATTCTTTTTTCATTCGGTTTTTCCAGTTACGAGTCCTTTTTTTAAAGCTGATCGTTTTGAGTTCATTTAGTTTAGTTCTTTTTTTATAACAGATTTAAGGTTTAGCATAGAGTAGTGTGAGATAGGCAATAAGTAAGGCATGTAGCAACATCAACACGGCAAAGGGCACTCCTTTAAAGGCAAGGAAGAGTAAAAATATTTACGTCAAGTGATAGCGATTGCTGTATGAGTCGTACGATTTTTGAATCAAGCACGGGCAACGCCGGGCTATGCTGCTAGTGTATATATATATATATATATATATATATATATATATAGTTGGTAATGTATTGGTGTGTTCTACTGAGAAACGAACTCACTATCTTTTCTGTACAAGGCAAGCCGTCAATCTGTGCATTGTGAGGAATAAGTAAAAATTCTCTAAGTTTTGAAGATCTATAGAGGAATTTCCGTATGTATAAACGTGTGTATGGAGGTGGGAATATCAAATTAATGGTATCCAAGAGGAAGAGGAGGATTGAAATAGAGAAAGCAAGATCGAGGAAGTGTCTTTTTACGAACAGACATTTCTGCTAAGACACAAGTATGACTCCTCTGTTTTACATATATTTTTGTATGCCTACAGCTGAGACACTTGTATTTCTACATATTTATTGTACATGTATTTGGCTAAAAGCGCATCTCCTCTCTCTCTCTGACTATATATATATATATATATATATATATATATATATATATATCTCAAATAAAGAAAAAGAACTGACAGATATTTTAAATAAAAAAAATATTATATATATATATATATATATATATATATATATATATATATATATATATATATATATATATATATATATATATATATATATATATATATATATATATATATATATATATATATATATATATGTGTATATATGTATATATGTATGGAGAGAGATGCATGTAAATAGAAATGCACCAATGCCCCTACACATATATGGATATATGAATTTATTAGTTAAAACACACACACACACACACACACACACACACACACATACATACACACACACACATCTATACAAACATACACTTAAGTTCGCACACGTACGTATGCCCGGCTTGACACATACATGCTTTTCCCGCCCATAGTCACACCCTCTCACCGACTTTCTTTCTTACTTTTGCTTCTGTTTTTACTTTATGTATCTTTTATTATATATATATATATATATATATATATATATATATATATATAATGTTCTATCGTTATTTTTACCGGTTGACGACTTTTTCGAGTCCATATGGATCGTTGCCTTTTACATTTTTTTTTCTCTCAGTGCAGAGCCAACATTTTTTTTCTTTTCTTTCTCGCATCTTTTTTCTCCATTTTGTTTTCTTTTTATGTTCCTCTCTGCTTTTTCCTTTTTTCACTCCGTTCTTTCATATTTTTTTTTTTATTATTTATCTGCAATGTTTCATTTAATGTTTCCCGCCTTTGCCTCCTCCCTCTGTTTCGCTTTGATCTCTCTGTTTCTCTTTCTTTGTATTTATATATTTATTTCCCCACCTTTTATTTCTTCTTTTCACTAGAAAATAGTAATAATAATAATAATAATAATAATAATAATAATAATAATAATAATAATCGACCCAAAGCCAACGAAAACTGAGTTTGCAGGTGCCCGGAAGGGACTGGTGAAACACTTGCATACTCTCTACGCGATTCTTCTTGTTCGACACACAGAACGACTGACACAGAGGCAGAGGCTGTTATAATTTTGCTTCAGCTCGTTACTTAAAATCATTCACCAAAAAAAGTTTCAATTTCATCAACAATACAAGCATATCATAGAGGATTAGGATAAATTAATTTATTATATGTCACGCTTGCAAGTATGACTTCAATTCTCTTCGGGGACCATGCTAATTCGTGCCAAAAGCTGGATTAGAGTGAGGGAGACCTGTACAAGATATCGTTTCCATCATGTCGTTTGTATGACGTCAAAACAACTGGCAGTTGAAGAAGCAGGCGGTGGTTGGTGGGGGGGGGGGCAGTTTGTGTTCTTACCATTTCCAATAGTTTTATAATAGAGACCAATGGTCAGCAGTTATATTCTGGTTTTCGGTTTGCAGCTTCGCAACCACCAAAATAAAATATTACAGTGTAACCCGGATATAAGAGAGTTGTCGGGACCGGAGAAAAAGTCTCTTATATCCGGGTTTCTCTTATATCCGGGTTTGGTCTATTTTATATACATTAACACAGGCTCTAATTTGGGACCAGAGAAAATATCTCTTATATCCGGGTTTCTCTTATATCCGGGTCTCTTATATCCGGATTACACTGTATATACAGTGTAACCCGGATATAAGAGAGTTGTTGGGACCAGAGAAGTCTCTTATATCCGGGTTTCTCTTATATCCGGGTTTGGTCTATTTTATATACATTAACATAGGCTCTAATTTGGGACCAGAGAAAATCTCTCTTATATCCGGGTTTCTCTTATATCCGGGTTACACTGTACAACCATATAACTAAGACGCGCATTGTCTTAAAAAGCTGTCCAACAAATTTACCTCTGACTAGCGTAAATTTTGACTTTAGATTTTTGCAAATCTTAATTAGTCAGTTCGGATTGAGGAATCGGAGAGCCGAGTTCGAATTCCAGTCGAATCCATTACACTTACGTGCTAATACCCTTGGGAAAGGTGTGAATCCTCTTCTTCCCCCTCCCTCCCCCCAAGCTATGGGTAAATAGCTGGACCGACCGAGTTTTATAGCCTTGGATGGCAACTAGTCTACGCAAAAAGAAATGGCAACCTACTGAGGGAAAAAAAATCTGCCTCGTCTGTATCGAAAGATACATGATCTCCTAAGCATGTCTCCCGCATGGCATATAACTGGGCTGGAATGGCTGAGTGTGAACCTGTTTGCATGGTGTCAGCTTTTAAGTTCTAAACTTAAATAAAAATAGTAAATGAACATTTGATTTTATCATCATCAAGTAAAAATATCGCTTTTTAAGCTGTAATTTTTTTTAAAAATATTGCAAAATGGATTACGATTTTGACCAGAAAAGCGGAGTTAATCTTGTTTTAATGTCAATAAATAAATTCAAATGTAACTTTGTCTTTAAAGTATCATCAATTTTCATTGTATTCTGAGATTTTCATTCTATCTATCTATCTATCTATCTATCTATCTATGTTTTTTCGATATCTATCTATCTATCTATCTATCTATCTATGTTTTTTCGATGTCTATCTATCTATCTATCTATCTATCTATCTATCTATCCTACATTTTTTCAGCTTTTAAAATTAACATTTTGTCGGATGGAGAGAATAATTATTCTTTGTCGATCAAGTAATTATTATTATATAATAATCCTGTGTTTTTTTTTTGTTTTTTTTTTTAAAGGATGTGATAGCGTCGCAAAACCAAAGGAAACTCTTGGAAAATTTTTTGATGTTTCATAATTTAAATATTACAGTTTTATATTTATCAAATTCATAATACTAAACTAAACTGTGAATTTTCGCGCGTGTGTGTGCGTAATAGATAGATAGATAGATAGATAGATAGATAGATAGATAGATAGATAGATAGATAGATAGAATTAGATGCCTAGGAAGTATCATAGATAGATAGATAGAAAGGGACTGATAACTTATTCAATGCCTGGTAAGAAAGAAAAGTTTTCATATTTCAGCATATCAAACACGAAAAACATTTTGTAGTGAAATTAAACAGTTTTATAACTACAGCACTAAGATGTTTTGATGAGGTTATCTGGGCCTCGCATAATCGGCTTCCACGAGCGCCTGCATTCCCTAACCACTGAAGTATTTATCAGGTTTTAGATCTTTGAAAATTCTTGCAGGCAAGGAAGTGTCCATTTTTAATCAATCTTGATCTCTTTTCATGATTTTATGGACTTTCGTAAACTTCCGAGTTTAGCTTAATTTGCTACAGGGTCACAATTACGAGATCCCCAGTGAGGATTGTACTCACCACGAAGTAATGGTCAACCTAACAAGTTCACTAACAACAATTATCGCTACCGAGGCACCCAAATCAAATAAAGCGTTGCGTACAATGAATTATAATTAATAGAATTCTTTGTATAATTTAATTTTACCATAAATAATTGATTTATATATATATATATATATATATATATATATATATATATATATATATATATACGAACGGGAAGAGACACCGACGGCACGTATGTAAATTGGTAGAACTTGATAGACGTATAGGAGACATACGCCAATCGATGTTGATGACAAAGAAATGTTTTTATCCTGCTGTATGTTAGTCACGTTAAAAATAAGCAGAAATATTTGAGAACAGCCGGCAGACGATATTTAATATTTAGTGGATTTATTTATTTATTTTCACAAGTGGCAGTTAATATTGACGGATTTTAAAAAAATCTACACGGTGTAACAAACTGTTTTCGTGCGCAAGATTAACTTGAACAAATATATAGTCATCTGCAGACAGAGTGTTTCGCTGTATTACAGATCATCAGTGTCGCCAAACGTGCGATCGAAATCCGACTCAATCGGCATCAGTTGGTGCACGGCAATGACGAGAGTGAATTTAAGCGTATTTATTTTTTAAACAGTGACTGAGAGAACTCGATTCGATTTACCGAAGAGTTTTGCATTATTAGCCGTAATAGTCACTGTTTACAAACTCACACTTCCTCCCATTGTGTGTATATATGTAGCATTTTTTCATTAATTCATTTTTCATTAAATAATATAGACAAGTTTTTATCGTCCGAAAAGCTTAATAACATTATCATTGAAAGACGAAAGAAAATCACCATATTGATACATGTTTTTTAATCCTATCTAAGCTTTCGTCTTACATAAGCCATCATCAGAGATGACAAGTACATTACAATAAATTAAACAATACACGGACATAGCAACAATGATAGTCTGTTTTTGATTGCATGGAAGATTTCCAAGCAACGACAAATTCGTGCATACGAGACGCTGGAAGAGAAAATGGCACCGCGGTCCCTGACCAAACACACACACACACACACACACACACATATATATATATATATATATATATATATATATATATATATATATATATATACATCACAGCTGGTCACTCGTATTCGAGGGTACCCGTCTACCAGGGCAGCTAGCCAATCCCTGTTGCAAACGCTCTATCAGGCACATATGTGTTTGTTCATGACCCACAGAGCCAACCTGTGCTTTAAACTGCAACTATGCTGAGCAGACCTTGGTTACAGATTCTGGGAGAGAGCTAGTCATCTCGCGTGATCATCAATTTGAACAAAGCCAGAACGCTCAATACCTCGGCCACGATGAATTGTGGCTTTGTGCTAGCACAGCTATCGACGGCCCTCAAGAGTTCCGTCTACCCAATTACTCTCACAAGGCTTGGGTCAACCTGCGATGTGGCATTCAGGCACTATCAAGGAAAGTCGACCTCGATCCGTTCCGATAACATCAGGAAGTATATATATATATATATATATATATATATATATATATATATATATATATATAACATTAAAATGCTGATCGGTAGCTTTCGTTCTGACATTATATACATGCATACATGATGATGATAATCCGCCGCACCTTCACAGATGATGGTCGCCTAATCACGTTCGATCCCCACCTCGCATTTCTCACGTGCATTACCCTGTAGGTGACTTGCCAGGCCGTCTGTGGACTTGCATGACTTGTTACACAAGTGACAGACGAAAAATGTGCTTGCCACAACTTTGATGGATTCACATAGCTATTCCTGATTCCTGTGCACCACCTTTTCAGTCCGGAGCTGGTTGTGCATATCTTGTCACACAGCGTGCAGACTGTGACACTCTGTGTCTGGGGAATGTCAAGGGTGATCGCCGCTTCAGCTTTTCTTTGTTTTTGTTCCAGACGACATTCTTCGAAGAATAAATACATTCACACACACACACACACACACACACACACACACACACACACACACACACACACACACATACACATATGTATATATATATATATATATATAGTTATGCGTTTTTATTAGCTAAAATATTTATGTATTTTTCATCACCAACGCTTGGTGATTTTAATCAAGGTTAAAGAACACGTTGTTATTTTTCTTTTTTTTTTTTATTATTTACCACTTTTTTTTTTATTATTTACCACTTTTCCAAAATTGGGCCTTCATTGCCTAAACCCCGTTTGCTCCTGTTCTAATACAAGAAAACTTAATACATACATATATATATATATATATATATATATATATATATATATATATGTCTGTGTAAGTGTGCGTGTCTGTGTGTGTTAGTATCATTTCTGTCGGCATTGTAGATTTGCCGATTTATGGTTTTGTTTTCATCCATCTGTCGAGACGATGATGCGTGTATAATATTAGTGGATGTGTGTACACGTGCAAATACATCTTTCAGGGGGTGATGAGTGTTCATGTATCTGTGTCTCTTCACACGAACTTTTTCAAGTTGGTGTTTATTCAATTAGTGCGAACGTCTCTTATGGTTGCGTGGTGAGGGGTGGTGAGTGAAGGAAGTGGGCGTTTGCTAGATTCTAACTAGAATTGGCACATTTAGATATCTATGTAGCTAGGGATAATAAGACGTGTATCTCCGGCCACACTCGTATTTACTTGGCCATGTTGAGTCCCTATAACATAATTACATACCAATGAGTCTCCGATCGACACATGGGAATCTCAGTAAAGTTCGAAACCCAACTGTTTTCTAACTGGATATGACATTCTTTCTAATCCTTTGGTTGAAGCGCGAGGTCATATACGTACGCATAATCGTTATCTAAATTGTATAGGTACCTCCACGAAATCGCTAAAAAAATAGCCTTATGCTTTTAACTATTGTAATCACTAAACCCGACGCGATCGAATTTCTAGCGTTTTCATAAAATTAGTTATGGTTGGGGTAATAAATATATAAAAAAAATATTTCTGCCATGACTTTAATAAAAAATAAACATATTTATAATAATTTCGATCATCTGTGAGTAGTTTCTGAAAGTTTCATTAACATCCGACAATTATTTTTATTTTTGCAAGATTTTCCAAATTAATGTATGTCATACAAGAAAAAAAAAAAAAAAAAAACGTGCTAAAAATTGTATATTATTTTACTAGTTCCGGTGATACAAAGAGAAACAAGGTTTTTAAATCAAAATTTAGAATGTTCTAAAGAGAAGGAAAATTTTTAAAAAAATAATTAAAAAAAACTTTGGTCTTTCCTCTTAATAATAACGTGAACATTTAGACGATAAAATTTTGTTTTCGTCAAGTTTGGCGTCTTTTTCATCATTCTTTGCTCTTTTTTAGCAATATCATGGAGGTAAATACTATTAATCCTTTGGTTGAAGATCATATACGTACGGATACTTTATCTAAATTGCGTGCAGAATTCTGTAAAAATTATGAAAAACAAAAATTTTGCATAACAAAATTACTATATTGGATTGTTTTAGGTGAAAAATTATTATTTCTTGTATTTTGAAGACTATAAACCTTCCCGGAGCTGAGCCACAAGCTTATACATGCTCTGTTTACTAGCAGCGACGGAAGCCTTTCTGCTCTTGACTCGTATGTCATTGCCATACAAACAAAAACGGTCGAGTGATTAATGTAGATACATGGTGTCAGTATGCGAGGGACGCATGGTGAATGTGTTGTCGTATGAGTATGACTTTTTTTCTTTCCTATGTTAGGGTGCGTCTTCCATGCCGCAGCGTCTTGTAAGCCGGAAAATACGTTATATCGAGAGCATTAACATGGCGATTTCTAATCTGACTACGGAAAAAGAAAAGGCAGACTGTTTGCGCGAATCGGAAGCAGCCCTCTTTAAAAAAAATGGCCAGATGAACAGGAAAAACAAGTGACTCTGCGCGGAGCCCAGAGGCAACCACGGTGATGTGCACGAATTTTACATAATCTGTAATGGTCCTGTTATTCTATTTCATTTCTACCCAAAGGTCGACATCATCTATATTATGTTGCTTGATACGATGGTGAAGCCTTGAATGGAGGGGTCCTTGTGCGTTTCAGCTTCACTTTGTTCTTTTCCTCATTCGGTATTTAGCCACTACCCACGAGGGTTGCATGTGGCACAAGGCCGAGTTTAACGTGGGTTTCCCGAGCCCATAGGCTCGGCCAAAAATATACCCTTTGAACCCGCCTAGACTGACTGGTTCAGGGCCTGTCTACCTCCCCGGACAAAACCTTGCCCTTCGGCAAAGCTTCGTCCGGGTTCCTCTCTGCCAAAGCAGAAAGTTCATGACCTGGTGCTCGTTGCACCATTCATTCGGTATTTAGCCACCCCCCACGAGGGATGCATGTGGCACAAGGTCGAGTTTAACGTGGGTTTCCCGAGCCCATAGGCTCGGCCAAAAATATACCCTTTGAACCCGCCTAGACTGGTTCAGGGCCTGTCTACCTCCCCGGAAAAAACCTTGCCCTTCGGCAAAGCTTCGTCCGGGTTCCTCTCTGCCAAAGCAGAAAGTTCAACAGCCATGACCTGGTGCTCGTTGAACCATTCATTCAAACACAGGGGACACTCGGGTGTGAACCGGGGGACCTCTCGATCTGCAGTCAAATGCTCTACCACT